AGCGACGTGTGAGTGTCCTCTGTGAGAATAAAAGATGTCGCTAAGATCCCCGTCAATGGACAGAGTTGTCAAAGACTGATTCGTGTCCCAGTCCATCCCTGGATGCTAGAAGTCCAAACTATTGCGCTGACGGCACATTTGCTGTGTTTACACTCAGTAAGAGCAAGAAAACTGACATGCCATTCTTGAACTTTTCTAACAGATGGTCCTTTGGCATCCTCATCTATGAAATGGTCACATTAGGTAAGTATCCTTTCTTTTTTTAAAGAAAAAAGAAAATTAAAGGGTGATGAAATTCCCCATTAGTTCTGTGACATGTAAGGATTTTATAGTCTCTCTCCTTTTACTGGAGTTTTGGGTGGACAGATATTTTCTAAATCTGATATACAAGTGTGTTTCTCATAATTCAATACTGGTGTTATGCTAAAATTTGATTTCCCATATTTAGACTTCAATAAATGACTTTCTGGCCTATAATGTATGAAACATATGTCAGTGTATCCCCCATGATTGATATCAAGTCGCCTTAAAACACAGACAACATTCCTGTAGGGGCTGGAAAACGGTCCTTTTTGCAAAAACAGTTATTTTAAGAATAGATAAATGTATTAAACTCAATTTATTTATAAATCCTGTTCACTAAAGTCTCTTGATCAATGCACACGTTAAAAACCCAAACAATAGAAATCACTTTTTTGGCACAACACTGGCTGACATGGTCAGCGAGTGTGCTCTGTGACATGATTGTATACTCTAACCTTTCAGGTGACCCACCGTTTGCTCAGGTCCCGTCGTCTGAACTTCTGCAGCATCTCCAAAGAGGGAGTCACCTCAAACGACCGGACACCTGCTCCAACTCACTGTAAGAGCAACAGCAGACCAGCAGTTTGCATCAATCATCAGCTTATACAAAGATGTCCAACTTTTAGCCCGTGACTGTTTAGGAGACGTTTCTGAGCTTTGTTTCCCCCCATGTGGGTTGAAAAAAAGAATCCAGTCTTTTCGTTCAGGTGTTCCTACACTGGGCTGCCCGACCGCCTACTCTTACACCATCAATCAGCAAATTTATTTATTTTTTTATTAAAACTACTTTCAGTGCATCTTCTTTTACAGTCTCACACGTCTGAACAGTCAGCGTCAGGGTCTGCTTGGTAAACTTTGGCTTTATACTAATAATCAGAAGCAGAACCTGAATGTTTTAGCCAGAGGTGTGGACTCGAGTCACATGACTTGGACTCGAGTCATTAATTTTATGACTTTAGACTTGACTTGAAAAAATGTTCTAAGACTGTGACTTGACTTGGACTTTTACACCA